ATTGTCATATAATTCTTGATATACTTACCAGAAATTGAAAAAGTGAATGGCTCTAATGACTGGGCAAAAAGTCTTGCAAGTGGTTTCCAATTCTTTGCTTTCAACAAAATTGAAAGTTGTCTTCAAACAAAACTGAATTGTTAGCTAGTAGATTATTAACAATAATTTTGGGGGCAGGCCCGGTGGCATAGTGGTTAAGTTCGCACACTCTGCTTGCAGCAGCCCAGTGTTCATGGGTTAAGATCCCGGGCGTGGACCTACACAACGCTTATCAAGCTGTGCTGTGACAGCGTCCCATATAAAGTGGAGGAAGATGGACACAGATGTTAGCCCAAGGCTAATCTTCCTCAGCAAAAAGAGGAGGACTGGCAACAGATGTTAGCTCAGGCTAATCTTCCTCACCAGGAAAATAAATGAATAAATGATTTCGATGATAGACGACTCTGTGATTGTGTATCTTTGGCCTGTGACTTGGTGAGAGTTGTAGAACTGAGCATCCTCCGTCTGCTCCTTTGTGTCAAAGGTCTGTTCATCCACAACCATGAGAAATAGCAGAAGAATCGATGCTGCCCTTGCCTCATTTAGCAATAAACACTTTGCATTAAATGAAAGATTTTTTAAATGTTTACTTTGGATGGCTGATATTATTTATCAAATTTTATAACTATATTTGTCATGATTTAATAATTGTAATGACTTGGTCTAGAAACTTTTTTACATAAAAATCTTTTTATTTATTTCATATTACTTTATTTATAATTGTGGTAAAATACACATACATCAAATTTACTATCTTAGCCATTTTTTGTGTATGATTTCATAGTGTTAATTACATTCCCAGTGTTGTGCATCCACTCCAGAGTTCTTTCCATCTTGCAAAACTACAACTCTTGCCCATTAAACAACAACTTAGGAATATTTTTCACAAATAGAGCCTCATGGCCATGTGAGAAAAAATGTTTAACTTCAATGTATCTATCTATTTTTGATGCAGAGAAGAGTGGTAGGGTAATCTGGTATAAATTACAAGGATAAAATATTAGGATTAAATTCTCTTGGGTAGTATAATGGAAACAAGAGATCAAAGAGAAAAAGGAACCTTGTAGAGTTTCTGATGGTTAGAAAAGAGCTTGTTCACTCTATTTTAAAATGCACGATGGTAGTATGAAATCACTACAGCATTTAGATTTCATTGGCTATATTTAAAAGATCATATGATAAAATGTTTTTAAATGAAATATTTACAACATGCTGGAAATTGTATCCTTTGCAACTATTTTTATTATGAAAAATTCAGATACCAACTTAAAATATATTATCCTTTCCTTAGTGGTAGTTTTTCAAAATTCTTTAGGGGGTATGTGACGTTTGAAGACCACTGTTAGGGTATAGAGATCCCTCTGAAAATGCCTGAACCAGCACTAAAGATCACCTCCTACCAAATATGCTCAGTGACTCCATTGTGGGTGTTTGTTCCCATGGCAGGGCTGACAACAAGGGGCTATGGAGCTTCACTCAGTCACCTACTGTCCCACACTCAGACCAGCTGAATACCTCAAAGGGAGCTGTCCTGTTCTGGGAGGTCATCTCACTCCAAACCAGTTGCCAACTTCAAACGAAACGCAGTACTTACTAAGGAAAGTCAAGAAGAACTTGCATTGCTGTGCCTGGCTTAGGTTAGCAGGCAAGCTGGACAACTGCATCAGAAGTCCCCCTTTCCCTCCCAGCACCCTGATGACAGCTGTAACATTTCCCTTGAAAAGGACCAGATCCACAGAGTAAAAGGCAACTCACATAATGGGAAAAAATGTTTGCAAATCATGTATCTGGTAAGGGATTATATATGTCAGATAAGGGTAATAAGCCCGTCACAAAAAAACAAAACTGTATGATTCCACTTATATGATGTACTTAGAGTCATCAAAATCATAGAGACAGAAAGTGGCTGCTAGGGACTAGGGGAGTGGGATGGGAGTTATTGTTTAATGGGGATAGAGTTTAGGTTTTACAAGATGAAAAAGAGTTACGGCAGATAAGTGATGGTGATGGCTGCACAACAATGTGAATGTACTTAATGCCACTAAACTGTACACTTTAGAATGGTTAAGATGGTAAATTTTATGTTATGTGTATTTTGCCACAATAAAAAATAATTGGCAAAAATGCTTGTATCATATCACATTTCACACTTCTTTTTGCCAAACTTTGCGGTTCATTCAACATATGAAGCGTGTTCACCATGTAGCTGGATTGACAAAGCCAACCTCATTATCAAACACGAATCAGGAAATTTCCTGCTTTCTGTCAGGAAAATGTCTGAATTCATTTTCATTTCAAATTAACGTTAAGACGTATTTTGAGGAAAATCATTAAAAGATCTGAGAAACAAATTGAAATGCATCTTAGATTAATTACCAAATGCAAGTATGAGTAAAACATTGCAGAACTTACTTAATGCATGCTGTTTCTCGTTATTTAAATTGTAGAATGTGGTGTAAGTCTGGTAGGAGTGAGAGGAATGAGAGATGGCTGGTGTCCCTTAGATGACAGTGAGTGTGTTGTGTCCAGTTTGGGGGGATATTCAGCTAGGAATTATATATAAAAGTCAGAAATACTCTTATTAGTTTCATTAGACATGATTAAACTCTTTATATATTTAGTGAAAAGAAGGCATATACAGTCGTCTCCCCTTATCCGCAGTTTTACTTTCCAAGGTTTCAGTTACCTACGGTCGGTCAACCACGGTCCAAAAACATTAAATAGAAAGTTCCAGAAATAAACAATTCATAAGTTTTAAATTGCACACTGTTCTGAGTAGTGTGATGAAATCTTGAGCTGTCCTGCTCCGTCCTGTCTGGGGCGTGAATCATCCCAGGAGATCCACACTCACTACCGCCTGTTAGTCACTTAGTAGCCGCCTGGGTTATCAGATCGACTGTCTGGTATTGCAGTGCTTGTGTACAAGTCACCTTTATTTTACTTAATAATGGCCCCAAAGCACAAGAGTAGTGGTGCTGGCAATTTGGATACACCAGAGAGAAGTTGTTGTTTTTAATCTCTTACTGTGCCTAATCTATAAATTACGCCTTAGCATAGGTATGTGTGTATAGGAAAAAACACAATATGTATAGGGTTGGGTACTATCCTCGGTCTCGGGCATCCACTGAGGGTCTTGGAACATGTCCCCTGAGGATGAGGGTTAGGGTTAGGCTTGCTCTGGAAGTTAGCATGTACTAGGTATATGAGATGGGAAAGAGGATGGTTGCCTATCATTGAAATAAACACTTCAATATATGACTGGATAACCGAATCTGAAAAGAATCACATTAAACTTAGGTTGTAGGCTTGATCTTGTCTTGAAAAGTTTTGTAGCCCCAGGATGTAGCCCCTGTGTGTGAGAGAATCTGATGGTGCATGCTTGGAAGACATATTGAGAAGAGAAATAATGCTTGTCTTTAAATAATGGGGGAGGGATTTTTAGGTTTGCTCTGCTCTGCTTGCACAGGCCCCACCTCCTGGGGAGGCCCCTCTGACAGCAGCAGAGTTGAGAGCTGCTGAGTTCAGAGCCCCCCTTCCCTCCGCCTGTAGGAGTTCTGATTAGTCATCAAAGGTGGCTTTTCCCAAACCAGGGTTTTGGATTGTCCCACTGTTGTGCACCGTGAGGTTTTTTATTCCTGGAGTGATGCAGGATGGGTGAGGGGTTGGTTTTCCTTGTCTTTTTAAAAGGGAAATAGGACACGAGCTCGGTTCTGAGAGATCTGGAAGTTGAAGTCTGAAGACTGATTCCCTTAAAACCAGTGGTTTTATGTGTGCAGTCCCCAGACCAACAGCATCAGCTTCTTCTGGGAACTTGTTAAAAACGCAGATTCTTGGGCCACACTCCAGATCAGCCAATTCCAGAACTCTGGGGGCCCCCAGGTGATTCTGATACCTGCCCACATTTGAGAACCACGAAAACCCGTATAATTTGAGAAGATTTGTCCTTGACCAGTTGACACGATGTCTAGATGATGTAATGACTAGTTTTGTATAAACATTAGACGTTTCATTTTTGTGTGTGTTGGAACCACTGTCATTAGTTTTCAGTTATATTGAAGAGCACAGACTCTGTTGTGCCTGGTGGATGAAGGTCCCTGTTACCACGTGAGGAACAACAGAGTGTCCTAAGCCAGAACCCTCAGGCCAAACAAACAGGCGGTGTCTTTAGATTCATGGCCTGTTCAGCCTGTGGGAGGTGACCTCGGGTCCTCTCCTGGCAGGTGGCCTAGAGCTCTGCAGGCCACTCCGTGGGCATCTGAGCCAGGGCCGAGGCCTGCCGGGAAAGAGGTGGGCCCTGGGCGCTTCCCAAAGCAGGAAGAGTGAATACCGTCTTTTTTGAGGAGAGGCCTGCTTTGTCTTTTTGGCCGTAAGCAGAACCTGTGCTCCCATCTCCCTGAGATTTGCGAAGCATCCTTTTTACCAGGTTCCTTCCTTCGTTCAGTTTTGCTTCCAAGTCTGATCCTTTTGAAGTGCAGCCGTTTGGTCTTTTTAAAATGAAAATCATATCAAGTCACTTCCTTGCTTAAAATTAAAATTGTTACAGGACTTCCCGTTGCCATTAGGAAAAAGTCCAGAAGTTTCAGCTGACCCTTGCTTCCCTCCTGCCTCGGGATTGTGCGCACGCTGTTTCCCGGGCCTGGACAGCCACCCTAGGGCCCTCGAGAAGCGCTGACTTTGGTTTCATTCCGTCCAGCATGCTTATAATTGATTTTGACATTGCTTTTTCCCCTGCAGCCTGAGCTGGCACCTTCCTGTCCTCAGGATGCCAGTCAGTGCTGAGGGGGCTGTTCCCTCAGTGCTGTCTCCATTCCCTCGTACACTCCGTGAGGACAGGGAAGCTGTTCACCGCTGTGTCCCAGGCCTCGTGGAGGCTGAGTAAATGCTTGTTTAAGTGAACAAGCCACGTCTTACTTCTGGTGCCCTTTCCCTGCTGTTCATTTATCCCGTCTCTTGCGTTGTAGTTTGGGGCTGAGTTCCGAAGGTTCTCTTTGGACCGTCAAAAGCCTGGGAAGTTTGAAGACTTCTACAAGCTGGTCGTGCACACCCACCACATCTCCAACACCGAAGTGACCATCGGCTATGCAGATGTGCATGGCGACCTGCTGCCCATCAACAACGATGACAACTTCTGCAAGGCAGTCTCAAGTGCGAACCCTCTGCTCAGGGTCTTCATCCAGAAACGAGGTACCGAGGAGGCTGAGCTGCTGCTCTCACTTAGCACTCACTTCAAAAATAAATACCATTTTCAATTTTGTCTGTCATTACAGAACCATGTGATTCTGTGTTCTAGCCTGTGGTGGGAGATTATAGAAATTAACATTTGTTTGGTCAACGTTAATTTATTAGAAAGGCTGCGTTTTCCACCTTAAATAGGTTGACTTCCAATTTTTAAATACAGAGGAAAAAATAATATTGATACTTTCAGTATTTTAACTGGAAGCAAGTGAATTTAGTAATGAGAAGGCATTAGCCAGGAACCCAAGAATAAAACTTAAGGTTGCTAGTATGTTTCCACTGTCTTTTTAGGATTAGAAAAAGATATTAGCTTTAAATTTGGTTTACTTTTAGCTCTGAAGCCCTAGCTTTGCAGTGAGTAACAGCAATATCGTTTTATATGAAAACAACTTACTAACAACGTAGGTTGATGGTTGACTGGGAGGGCCCCTGTGTGGAGTCACAGTGGGGCCTCGTGCTGCTCACGTCTCAGAGCTGCAGTTCAGATTCGTTTCCTCATCGCTAGACTTGGGAGAACCTTAACACTTCAGAATAATAGACTGAAGGAAAGAAATACCTGCACATGAGGCTTGACATTCGGAAATTGGCATTTTATGATTGACTTGGTCATGACTGTCCCTCCCTCCCTGAGTGGACTTCTGTGCCATAGTGAGTGCTGCCCGCCCTGGAGAAGCAGAGTGGCCGTGGGGCCGCTTGCAAAGCAACAGTGTTTGCTCTTGTGGATCCTCCTCCTCGGAGGAGGGGGAGAGGGGTCTTAGTCTCCCTGGGGCAGGGCAGCTTCACCGAGGGGAGAGCCCGAGCAGAGACTAGAAGTAGCAGCAGCAGTGTGCTGGGCGGAAGGCCCTCTGGACAGGGGGCCTGTACGCCGGAGCCTGTGCAGAGCTCGGTAAGCGGGCGGGAGGCCGAGGCGTGGAGCCCGGCGCTGGGGTCTTCTCTCCTTCGCCTCGGCCCCTCCCTTGCGTGATGGCATTCTGATGGTACTTGCCCATCACGTTATCCTGAGCTACGTGGGTGACTCATGCGGAGTGCTCAGAGCGTGCTGGTGGCGGCCAGTGCTCCGTGAACATTGGCTGTTGCTGTCGTCTTGTTTGTGGTGATGGAACAAGAGAGGGGATGGCAGGGATTCGCTGACCTCACTCCAGATGGTTCTCTGGCGCAAGATCAGAAGCTTTGCATCTATAGTTCTTGCTGAGCCTGGTGTCCTGTTGATGGTACGGAGCAGTCAGCACGGCTGTCACTTCCTCACCGTGGCCGGGGGGAACTGGCTTTCTTCTTGTCACTGGTCCCCCGGAGTTGCTGGGGCACCAGGACACTCCACTGCCTCTGCATGGCCCCTGGCTCTTCCGGTGTCCTCCCTGTTCTTTTCCTCATTCCTTCTGCTGTGGCCATGTGTGCACCCTGCTACCCCCACCTGGGACTCTTTGCCCCTCACATCATTTGGGTATGTGTTCACACGCCCCTCTCAGAAAGGCCAGGTCTCAGACTGCTCCACCTAATTAGCTTGCATTCCCCTCTGCCCATCCTCTGTCCTCTTACTCTGCTTTCTCTGTGTTGTACTTACTCATTGCTCTCAGGGCTGGCTTGTCCGTCTGCACCAGCTGCCACATCCCCCAGCTCTGCCCTAGCCCTCCCAGGTCACGTCGTTTGCTCACAGGGTGCAGGAGGTTGAGCAGTGGTGTGAACTACAGATGTGCCCACGGCCTTCATCATCTGTCGTACAGGAAACAAGTCTGTACTCTGTGTGCGACGCTGGGGTTGGAGGCTCTGCAGAAGGGTCTCTTTGCCCTTTAAAAGGCCGGCCCTAGTGACACTTGGCACCTGCGCTGTTGATACGATGAGGCTGAGGTGGGACAGGAAGCTCCAGGTTTTTCTGTTTGCAAATGGGAATGCACTCATGTCGCCCGCAGCCCCGATGGCTTTGCCTCTTCTCAGCCTGCTGGCCGAGGCCCTGCATCCTGACTTTATCATTTACTTTCCTCCTTCCTTTGCCCTCAGAGAAATAGCCCAAAGTTTAACTAGCTGGCTTAGGGGTTCTAACACTCTAGTGTTTTCATCATGAGTGTGTCGCCTACAGCCCTGCCTTGCTCTGTTATGTGACAGTAAGGAGCTTGGGGAAACTGAGTTCAGACGCTGCCTCCAGCACCTTCTCACTGGCTCTGTGGACAGCTGAGCCCCAATATTCTCATCCGTAGAAGAGGAGAGCAGCGTCTACCTCAGGCTGTTGTCAGGTTAGATAGGAAAACGTTCCCAGTGTCCATAAAGACCAGCCCCTCCATCCCGTCATTGGAGAAACTGGGGCTCTCTTCTCGCTGCCCTCAGTGGACTCTAAGTGTAAGGAGGACGTCCAAGTGGGAGAGGCGGGGGCAGTTGTGTCTGTGGACGGTAGGAAGCAGGACTCACTCGCTGACTGTGTGAAAGGTGGTGTCCATTCAGGGCGTGGCCGAGCCAAGGCTCCCTGGGGGCAACACTCAAGGCCCGCTTCCTTTTCCTACAGCAGGAGTACGAGATGTCGTTCACAGTAATGCCATCATGATGTTACTAGAACCACACCCACTCTGTCATTTACTTAATAACTTTCTGTACGTTGATGTATATTTTAAGAGGAAACTATATTACTACCACAAATGAAGTCAGCATTCTTCTAATAGATGTCGAAACAAACCCATGGCTTGTTATGTTATAACAAAAAATTAATTTGTTTGCGACTTATTAATCTCTTCCCCCAAAGCACACACAGACATCACAATAAAACTACAGCCCAAGATCTCTCATGAATATGAGAGATCATATTCAACAAAATACTCAACAAAATACTAGGATATGGAAAACAGGTTTCCACACAAAAACTTCTACATGAATGTTCATAACAGCATTATTCATAACAGCCCAAAGGTGGAAACACCCAAATGTCCATCGACAGATGATGGGTAACAAGATGCGGTGTATCCATACACTGGGATGTTATTCAGCCATAAAGGGAAGAAGCACTGCAGGAATGAGGCTGCTGTATGGAAGAACCTTGAACAGAATGTGCATTGAAGGAAGCAGGCACAAAAGGCCACGTACTGTAGCGTTCCTCTTATAGTTGTCCTCATTATGTGCCAATTCCACGTTTGTGCACTCGCTAAGCTGTATTTGTAACCCCAGATGATACTCGGGGCACCTGCACGGTCACTGCAGACATGCGCAATGGTGGCCAATCTGCGCTGCCGGTGCACACACCCAGCTGAGATCCAACAAGGCGCTGCTCTGCCTTCTTGGTTCATCTCACACTACAAACAAGCGTCCTTTTCACAGTCTATCTAGTGCCACGTTTTTCACATTTTTGTGCTTTTTCTTTTTTTTGTTGTTGTGGTAAAATACATATAACATAAAGTTATCAACTTGACCATTTTTAAGTATACAGTTCAGTGGCATCAAATACATTCATTCTTGTGCAACCGTCACCCCCATCCATCCCCAAAACCCTTTTCATCTTGTAAAACTGAATCACTCTAACTTTTAAGCAATAACTCCCCTTTCTCCCCTCCCCCCAGCCCTGACAACCACCATTCTTTCTGTCCCTATGATTTTTTCTTTTTTTTTTTCCTGAGGAAGATTAGCCCTGAGCTAACATCTGTGCCAGTCTTCCTCTATTTTGTATGTGGGTCGCTGCCACAGCACAGCCGCCAATGAGTAGTGTAGGTCCACACCTGGGAACTGAACCTGGGCCGCCAAAGCGGAGCATGCTGAACCCAACCATCAGGCCATGGGGCCGGCCCCTCTGTCCGTATGGTTTTGATGACTTTAAGTGCGTCATATAAGTGGAACCATGCAATATTTGTCTTTTGTGACTGGCTCATTTCACTCAGTAATGTCCTCCAGGTTCATCCATGTTGTGCCAGAACTTACTTCCTTTTTAAGGCTGACTAATATTCCATTCTGTGGATAGACCACATTTTGCTTATCCATTCATCTGTCGATGGACACTTGGGTTTCTTCCACATTTTGGCTATTGTGAATAGTGCTGCTATGAACACAAGTGTACAAATATCTCTTTGAGTCTCTGCTCTCGATTCTTTTGGGTATGTACCCAGAAGTGGAATTGCTGGGCCATACAGTAATTTTATTTTTAATTTTTGGAGGAACCGCCATACTGTTTTCCACAGCGGCTATACCATTTTACATTTCTACCAACAGTGTATAAGGGGTCCAATTTCTCCACATCCACACCAGCACTTGTTGTTTTCTGGTTTTTGGATAATAGCAATCCTAATGGGTGTGAGGTGGTATCTCATTGTAGTTTGATTTGCCTTTCCCTAATTAGTGATGTTGAACATCTTTTTGTGTGTTTAATGGCCATTTGTATATCTTCTTTGGAGAAATGTCTATTCAAGTCTTTTGTCCATTTTTGCACCAGGTTGTTTGTTTTTGGTTGTTGAGTTTTAGGAGTTCTCTGTATATTCTGGATATTAATCTGTTATCAGATATATGATTTGCAAATATTTTCTCCCATTATGTGAGTTACCTTTTTACTCTGTGGATTGTGTCTTTTGATTTACAAAATTTTTAATTTTTCATGAAGTCCAATTTGTCTGTTTTTTTCTTTTGCTACCTGTGTCTTTGGTGTCATATCCAAGAAATCACTGCCAACTCCACTGTCGTGAGGCATTTGTCCTATGTCTTCTTCCAGGAATTTTATAGTTTTAGGTCTTACATTTAGGTCCTTGATCCATCTTGAGGTAATTTTTGTGTATGATGTTAGATAAGCTTCATTCTTTTGCATGTGGATGTGCAGTTTTCCAGCACCATTTGTTGAAAATACTGTCCTTTCCCATTTAATGGTCTTGGCTTCCTTGTCAAAACTCACTTGACCGTATAGGGGTTTATTACCAGGCTCTCTATTCTATTCCATCGGTCTATATGTCTGTCTTTATGCCAGTGCCACGCTGTTTTGATTACTGTAGCTTTGTAGTTAAGTTTTGGAATCAGGCGGTCTGAATCCTCCAGTTTTTTTCTTCTTTCTCAAGATTGTTTTGACTATCACAGTCCTTTGAGATTCCATATGAATTTTAGGATGGGTTTTTCTATTTCTGCAAAAAACGTCATTGGGATTTTCATAGAGATTGCATTGAATTTGTAGATTGCTTTGGGTAATATCAGCATTTTAACAATATGAGGTGTTCTGGTCCATAAACATGGGATGTGTTTCCATTTATTTATGTCTTTATAATTTCTTTAGTGTTTTTTAATTTTCATTGTACAAGTCTTTCATCTCCTTGGTTAATTCCCAAATATTTTATTAATTTTGATGCTGTGTAACTGTTTTTGTAATGTCCTTTTCAGATCGTTCATTGCTTATGTATAGAAATACAACTGGTTTTTGTCTGTTGACTTTGTATCCTGCTACTTTGCTGAATTCATTTATTTGTCCTAAAGCTTTTTTGTGGAATCTTTAGGATTTTCTACATATAAGATCATATCATCTGCAAACAGAGAGATCATCTTCCTTTCCAAGTTGAATGCCTTTTATTTCTTTTTCTTGCCTAATTGCTGGGGCTAGAACTTCCAGTACTATGTTGAATAGAAGTGGTAAAAGTGGGCATCCTTGTCTTATTCCTGATCTTAGAGGAAAAGCTTTCAGTCTTTCACCATTGAGTATTCTGTTTTCTGGGAGTTTTTCATACGTGGCTTTGATTATGTGGAGGTAGTTTTCTTCTATTCCTATTTTGTTGAGTGTTTTTTCATGGAAGGGTGTTGAATTTTTTCAAATGCTTTTTCAGCATCAATTGAGATGATCATGTGTTTTTTTTCCCTTCCTTATGTTGCTGTGGCATATTACACTGATCAATTTTCATTGTTTAACCATCCTTGCATTCCAAGAAGAAACCCACTAGGTCATAGTGTATAATTCTTTTAATATGCTGCTGAATTCTGTTTGCTAGTATTTTGTTGAGTATGTTTGCATCAGTGTTCATAGGGGATGTCGGCCTGTGATTTTCTCTCTTGTGGTGTCTTTGTTGGGGTTTGGTGTCAGGATTACGCTGGCTTCACAGATTGAGTTAGGAGATGTTCCCTCCTCTTCCATTTTGGGAAAAGTTTGAGAAGGATTGGTATTAGTTCTTGATATGTTTGGTAGAATTCAACAGTGAAGCCATCATCAGATCCAGGGCTTTTCTTTTTGGGGATATTTTTGGTTACTTATTCAATCTCCAGACTAGTTATAGGTCTATTCAGATTGCCTATTTCTTTGTGATTTAGTCTTGGTAGGCTTTGTGTTTCTAGGAATTTGTCCATTTCATCAGGGTTACCCCATTTGTTGGTATACAGTTGTTCATAGTACTCTCTTATAATCCTTTTTATTTCTGTAGAATCAGTGGTAATATCCCCACTTTCATTTCTGATTTTAGTAATTTGAGTCTTCTCTCTTTTTTTCTTAGTCGATCTAGCTAAAGGTTTGTCAATTTTGTTGATCTTTTTGAAGAACCAACTTTTTGTTTAATTGATCTTCTCTACTGTTTTTCTGTTCTCTGTTTTATTTATCTCTGCTCTAGTCTTTATTATTTCCTTCCTTCTGCTAGCTTTGGGTTTAGTTTGATCTTATTTCTCTAGTTCCTTAGGTTAAGTTAGGTTATTGATTTGAGATCTTTCTTTTTTTTTAATGCAAGCACTTTATAGCTATAAATTTCCCCTTAGCACTGCTTTTGCTGCTTCCCATAAGTTTTGGTATGTTGTGTTTTCATTTTCATTTGTCTCTTAGTATTTTCTAATTTCCTTCTGTTTCCTTCTTTGATCCATTGGTTGTTTAAAAGTGTGTTTTTTCGTTTCCACATTTTTGTGAATTTTCTGGTTTTCTTTACGTTATTGATTTCTAACTTCATCCTGTTGTGGTCAGAGAAGATACTTTGCGTGATATCTATCTGTTTAAATCTATTGAGACTTAATTTCTGGCCTAACATGTGGTCTATCCTGGAAAATGTCCCACATGCACTTGAGAAGAATGTGTGTGCTGCTGTTGTTGGGTGGAGTGTTCTGTGTATGTCTGTTAGATCTCGTTGGTTTATTGTGTTAAGTTTTCTTACTTCTCTTCTGTCTGGTCATTATGTCCATTTTTGTGAGTTGAGTATTAACGTCCAAGTACCATTGTAGAACTGTCTCTTTCTCCCTTCAGTTCTGTCCGTTTTTTCTTCATATATTTTGATGGTCTGTCATTAGGTGCATAAATGTTTATCCCTGTTTTATCTTTTTGCTCTGTTGAACCTTTTATGACTATATAATGTCCTTCTTTGTCTTGTGTAACTTTTTTGATTTAAAGTATTTTGTCTGATATTAGTATAGCCACTCCTGTTTTCTTTTGATCACGGTTTGCATGGAATATCTTTTCTTATCCTTTCACTTTCAACTGTTTGTGTCTTTGGATCTCAAGTGAGTCTCTTGTAGACAGCATATAGTTGGATCCTGTGTTTTTATCCATTCTGCCAATCTCTGTTGATTGGAGAGTTTAATACATTCACATTTAAAGGAAGGACTTACTTCTTTCCTTGTGCTATTTGTTTTCCATATGCCTTATAGCTTTTTTTGTCCGTCATTTCTTGCATTACTATCTTTTGATTGATATTTGGTAGTGAAATGTTTAACTTCCTTTCTCATTTCCTTTTGTGTGTGTTCTATAGCTTTTTTCTTTGTGGTTACCTTGGAGATTACATTTAACATCCTAAAATTATAACACCGTAATTTGAATTTATACCAGCTTCACTTCAATGACGTATATAAAGCTCTACTCCTCCACAGCTCCATCCCCACTGCTTTCAGTTGTTGGTGTCACAGAATTACCTCTTTATACATTGTGTGTCCAAAACATAAACTAATAATTCTTTTAAATGTATTAGTTACCTAAATTATAGAAAACAAAATTTGGAATTACAGACCAAAGTTACAGTAATACTAGCTCTTACACTGTTTCCTTTTTCTTTAAATGTATTAGTCTTTTCAATCATGTAGAAAACAAAAAGTCCAGTTTCAAACTATGGTTACAATAATAATAGCTTTTATAATGGCCCACGTGTTTCCATTCATCGAGATCTTTGTTTCTCCAGTTGCTTTGAGTTACTGTCTGCTGTTCTTTCACTTCACCTGCAGGACTCCCTTGAGCCTTTTTTTTATAGGGCAAGTCTAGTGTCACCAACTCCCTCAGATTTTGTTTATCTGTGAATGTCTTGATTTCTTCCTCACTTTTGAAGGACAGTTTTGCTGGATATAGGATTACAGGCATACCTTATTCTATTGCACTTTGCTTTATTCACTTTGCAGATATTCCATTTTTTACAAGACTCTCCATCAGCAAAAAGATTATGACTTGCTGAGGGCTCTGATGATAGTGAGCATTTTTTAGCAATAAAGTATTTTTTAATTAATGTATGTACATTTTTTTAGACATAATGCTGTTGCACACTTAATAGACTATAGTGTAAATATAATTTTTACATGCACTGGGAAACCAGAAGATTCGTGTGACTCACTTTATTGCAGTATTCGCTTTATTGCAGTGGTCTGGAACCAAATCCACAGTATCTCCGAGGTGTGTCTGTATTCGTTGACAGTTTTTTTTCTTTTATCATTTTGAATATATTGGCCCACTGTTTACTGGCCTCCAAAGTTTCTGATGAGAAACCTGCAGATAATCTTGCTGAGGATCCCTGTTTCCCTCTTGCTGCTTTCAGTATTCTCTCTGTCTTTGAAAAGTCTGACTATAATGTATCTCTGTGTGGGTCTCTTTGCATTCATCTTGGAATTTGCTGACCTTCTTGGATTTTATATTCATGTCATTCTTCAAATTTGGAAAGTTTTCAGCCACTATTTCTTCAGATATTCTCTCTGCCCCCTCCTCTCTCTGTTCTCCTTCTGGGACTCCCATAAGAGGTATGTTGGTCCTTTCGATGGTGTCCCACACGTCCTTTAGGCTCTGTTTTTTGTGTTTCTTTAATCTTTTACTTTCTGTTCCTCAGCTTTGGTGATTTCCATTGTTCTATCTTCAAGTTCACTGATTTTTTTCTTCTACCTGCTCAAATCTGTTTTGAATCTTTCTAGTGAATTTTTCATTTCAGTTATTGTACTTTTCAGCTCCAAAATTTCTTTTTGGTTTCTTTTTAGGTTTTCTGTCTCTTTATTGATATTTCCATTTTGTTCATACTTTGTTTTCTTGACTTTCTCCACATTTTCTTTTAGGTTTTTGAGCATCTTTAAGATTGTGTTTTAAAGTCTTTGTCTAACATATCTGCCATTAGTCTTTTTCAGTGACAGATTCTGCTGAATTATTTTCTTCCTTTGAAGGGGCCATACTCTCCTGTTTCTTTGTGTGTTTTGTGAATTTTTTTTGTTGAAAACAGGACATTTGAATCTAGTAACATGGTGACTCTGGAAATCAGATTCTCCCCCTTCCCAAAGTTTGCTTTTATTGTTTTTTTTCCTCTTGTTGTAGGCTGTCTCTGTGCCAAGGCTCAGCCTGAGGTGCAAGCTTAATGTCTTCTTAGATTTTTTTCTGAGCCTTTTCTTGGGCATGCATAGTCACTTTCTGATTTTCTCCATGTATACAGTTGTTTTTGAATGTCTAGTCTTTAATGACTGGCTCCCAAAAGGGGAAAAGAGAAAAATTAAGAGGGGAAAGGACACTCACCATTTAACTCTGCTGGAAGTGACTTGAGCCTGAGGGGGAGGGGCTTGCTACAGTGGGAGAGGTGCAACAGCAGTGGCCACCCGCCTCTGTGTCTGCACCTCTGTGATCAGAAGCCGCAAGCAGCAGTCAGAGCACAGACTCTCAATATTTGGAGGACAGAATCCCTTTTGCCCACCCTGGCTCCCACATGCTGTGTGCAGGCTGCTCCAGGAACAGGTGCACAGCTGCCTGCCAGGGGGCTGGGGATGAGGACAGGTAGCTGTTACTGTGCTAAGAGCAGAAATTGGCCAAAGTTGACCAGAATTTACCATCCAAGTCTTCGCCTGGAAGTGACAAGCCTTCAGCAGGCCCCAGAGCTCCAGTAGTTCCATCAGACAGATTCTGCCCCTGCAGCTGTCGTCCAGGTGGGGAGATTCCTGGTGCTTCCTGCTCCTCTGTCTTCTCAGGATCCTCCTGTGCTTTTCTTTATGATTTCACTGTTAATTTAAAGTGACCCCCAAGCATAGTGCTGAGGACTGTCAAGTTTTCCTAAGCACAAGAGGGATGTGATGTGCTTTACGTAGAAAATGCTCTTGGCCATGAGTTCAACGTTAATGAATCAATGATATATACTAAATAAGGTGTCTAAACAGAAACACATATAACACAAGGTTATGTATTGATCGGTGGATTAAAACGTTGTGACCAGAGGCTCCCAGGAACCTAACGCTGTGTTTCCCCAGGAGCCATGGTTCAGGTTCAGTAATTCACTGTTCGTGGAGACTTTGTAGAACGTGACTACCGTGAATAACAAGAATCAACTGTATTCAGTCTAGAATGGCAAATCCAGAGAGACAGCACGTAGATTCATGGTTGCCAGGGAGAGGGGGAATTGGGAGGTATAGAGTTTCTTTACCAGGTGATGAAAATATTCTGGAACTCAATAGTGGTGCTGGTTGCTCAGCTCTGTAAATACACTAATAACCATTGAATTAGACTCTTTAAGTGGGTGAACTTGATGGTATGTAAATTATATCTCAATAAAGCTGTTAAACAATTAAAAGTACAAGATTCAAACCAGACTCTCCTGGTCTGAATCTTGGCCCTGGGTGAGGTCCTCCAGCTTGTCTCCAGCCTTTATTTCCAAAATTAAGCCATATTTATTATATGTGAATACTTTGACTAATTAATTTGTTCAAAATTTTAAAAAACCATCTCTTCCCCTGGTAATAGGAAACTTCCTGTGCTTCACTCAGTGGCCCCAGCTGTGAGCAGCACCTGTGTCCTGATACTTTGGCATCAAAACCCAAGTGTGTTCAGGACAGCCCAACTGGCTCCTGAGGGGCTTCTGGTATGGGAGGCAAACCTGACATCCATCGTGAGCTCATGAGGAATAGAAATAGCACGGCACTGTAGGATTAGCAGGACCTGTGACTGTGTTACCAATAGAAATCAGAGATATTTTCATTTCATTTGTTAGTTGTAGCCAGATATCTTGAATATCATTTACAGTAACAATTATTTTAAAACAATGGTACACACTGTTATTGAATGCATTAGTAAGAATGCACATACAGTATCATATCACACATTTGCTTTAGTATCTTGTTCATTGTCTTCAAAGTAATTTATTTCCTTTGTAATCCACGTGTTTTACTTTATGCCTTTAAGAACGTTTTTCGAGAAGGAGTTCCCAAGCATCTTCAGATGCTGAGGGCTCTTGGGGCACTCAGGGTTAAGACCGCGGTTGTAGATAGTCTGCATTTGGGAACTGAAACAACAGGCTGGGAATGACTTGGATTTCGTCCTCCTGGGACTCAGTCAGAGGACATTTTCCTTAGGAAGTTAGATGGCATTTCTGCCCGCAGAGGGCAGAGGACCACACCTTTGGCCTTCACATCTGTGGGCTTCTTTCCTTCTGCATTTACTAGACTTCTGCAGTCCTCTTTCCAGTCCTGGGCTACTGTTAAAAGCTGTGGGGTTTTTCCCTTGAGTAAATAACAGACATCGTTATGCCTTTCATTTAATGCTTTGCCCCTTTAAGTCAGAAGAGCAGCAGTTACAGAATGAATTAGTTGTAGTGGGAGAATATGGACTCACGTTTGCACGTGTGGATCGCAAACCCAGACGATGTTAAGGAACCGCTTCCCTCTGTCCTCTGCATATTCCTGTCCTCTCCAAGGATGCAGAAACATTTGGGGAAACTGGCCTAAGCCAGAGAGAAGGCAGGGCAAGACCAGTGAAGAGACTCGGAGTATCTCTTTCTATTTTTAGCAGAATAAACAGGAAGTACAAACACTAACTTTTCACCACTTACCCATCAAATAAATCCTTCAAATACTGGCATACCCTGTACTCCCGTGATGTGAGAGATCCGGGGCCCAGACTGGGACTGGCAGTGGAATCCTGATTGATTTCAGTTCTCTCCCTGGTGTAAGTGGCCTCCCAGGTTGTCAGAGGAGCCCTGACGAAGACTTGATTAAACCGGAAGGTTTCCAGCACAGTTAGAGTAGGCGGGACTGTTGCACGTTTGCACGTGTCTCTTAGCCGCTCTTGCCATTCGGCATTCTTCTGGGGTCGTAGAATGAGGAAGACACATTTGTAAACTTCTTGATTTATCAGAAGTTGTATGATTGGGGGTGGAGGGCATTAGCTTGTGATTTCACTTAAGTGAGTTGCCCCAAAAATGTAATTAAGGGATGTTTTTCAAAGTAAAATGTATGAAATCACTGAGAATTTGGTTATAGACACTGGCAGAATCTTAGAGTATCAGGCATATAAATCCTGCTTACACTTGGTTTTCTTGGATTCTTCATTAAGTAGCAGGAGGTGTGTTGGGTTTTGAAGTTGAGTTCACTGCTTAGTAGGAAGCACACGTGTCTAGCTTTTGAAGCTGCCACAACTGAGTTTCTGTATCCCCTCCTCCTCTCTCTCTTTCCTCAGACCTGCCCAGGGTTTTGAGGCTGTGTGTCCTGAGGGCAGAGGAAGGGATAGTTTTGCTGAATTAGCCTCATCTGTGTCCCCACACTTACAGGAACAGATGTAGAACCTGGCTTAACACTCCTCTGCTACGGGAGCTTTTTCGTGAGGCACATTTGCTTCTTTAATTGCTGCTGATTCCTGGAAGTTTGCGTGTTTGAAGAATTTCCTTTTTTTTTTTTTAATTGAAAAAAGGGCAAAAAGTCTCCCCTTGCTCCACCGTGGGAACATGCAGAAAACAAAATGCCTGAAGCCCTCATTCACCCCTGGAGTGGGAGTGGATGGGAGGAGAGAATGTGCTGATGTAGCTCATTAAAAAGAAAACAAAGCCAGAGCCACCCACCGTCCAGAAGAATCCCAGGGCTCATCCTGGAAAGGCTAGCGTTCTGTGCAGGCACTGTGGGAACAACAGGGCTGTGGGCCTGCTGGATGCAGCCGCTCCACCTGAGTCCCTGGTCGGCCCCTTCCCCTCCAGGGAGCCCGTGGGAAGGCTGGTTTAGTCTCTGAGGGTCCTGGCAGAGCACCTCGTGTACAGACAGTGAGAGCTGACGCTGATGGAGTTGGATTCTACTCTTTTCTTATTTGTTTTCTAGTCAGATATACTTTTACATATTCAAGCCCATAGTATATTGATAATTTGGATTCTTGCTTTTTAAAAACCTAACACATGATAAGCATACCTGTGTTATTAAACTCTGTAAAACTTTTTGTTTTTAAAAAGTCTTTTCTGTTTATAACATATTTGTAAAAGAAAATTCAAATAATGTGGAAATAACTCCACCGCCCGAGTGACCACTGTCAGCATTCAGTGACGCTCACACCCCTTGGTACAGATCCCATTCATTGGACATAGTTTTACATAAAGGGGGCCAAGATATGCATACTGTAGAGGTCATTTTAACCTGGCATTATATTTTTGACTTTCTGTAGGTGTATGGAGATGTACACCATCCTTTTAATGGATGTATCAGTTGTGTGAAAGTAACAAGATGTAACCAATCTCTTATTAATTTATATTTAAGCTGTTCCAGTTTGTTCCATTATTATAAACTGTGTTGTGTGTTTTTATGTATGTGTCAGGTTCTCTCTTTAGGGTAAATCAGTAGAAATGTTGTCGTTGGATTAAAAGGCATGCATAATTTGAACGAAGATATATATTGCCAGTGCAACTTTCTTTAGCAGGGCATTCAAATGACTTTTGAATTAGATCTCTTTAAAACACATCTTTGAAGACTGTCCTTGTGTGGTGTGGAAACTCGTAAGCTTTGAATTTACCTTCTTGAATGCTGCAGTGAAGGCCAGTGAGGGTCTGGCCCACAGTGTGGGGGGTGCTGTCCCCCTGCTAGGACAGCACCCAGCTCGGGCCAGTGTGGACCCCACGAGTCTGGGACCTCAGCTGGGACCTTGTGGGGTTCCAGCCTGCCCCCATGGCAGATTATCCTGCTCCAGACACCTGGTGCTTCACGTCCTGAGTTCAGGAGCCCCTCTCTCCTTTCCTCGTGGCTGGGAGCTGCGGGTCCTGTGGAGCTGTGGTCTCAGAGTGGAGACGCTGCACCTGGCCAGCTGGCACATGCTGACGCAGTTTGCTTCCACTCGGGCCAAAGTGTCGTGTGGCTGAACGTGGTCATCGTATTGTTTCTCTTCTGTCGTGTCAGAGTGGCGCGTTGTGTGATGATTAACACGTTTATTTAAGCCAGTTCTCAGTGGACCAGCTCGAGGGTTTCTAGTTTGATGGGAAATAAGGCCAAGCACAGAGCACAGTTTGGGGCTTTCTTTTCATGTGTAAGCCGATAATCCTGAGCCAAGCGACTGGCTGTCAGGCCGCCTGTGTCAGCAGGATTTCTCTTTGAAACAAATCTTTTTAAACAAAAAGCAGCAGACCCCTCAGATCGTGTGACAGGCTGTGTTTCTGCTTCCAGGGTGCGTTGGGGTCTGTGCCGTCGCCTGTTTTTAGAAGGGAGGGATTCTTTGGCCCTCTGGAATGGCCCTGCCTGGTAAACCCCACGCGCTGCACCCCGAGCCACCTGTGTGTGCCTGACAGCTTGGAGGCTGCTTAGAGCCGGACTCTCAGGCAATTCCCAAGGGTGGCGAAGCGCTGGTGCCCACCTGACCACACACGGGCTTGCGAACTGGTCTTTCCCTGGAAATCTCATGCCCTCCTCAGGTGCTGTGGCAAGCAAATTGGATACTGTTCCTGCTCTCTGAGCGCAGGTTTCTACTGGGGGGTGTGGGGTGTTCGGCGGTGCCCTGGAGATGCGCCCGGTCCCACAGGGGCATGCCAGTTGTGCTGAGTCTCACAGAGAAGGATGGGAAGGTTTACGCAGTGGCTCCGTGTGACCTGGCAGAGGTGCCGCTGTCGGGTGGGGGCACTGGAATGCCTCTCGGAGAGCCTGCCAAGTCTGCCCTCTCTGACTCCTGCATGTCCTGGACCACGTGCTCCGTGAGGCAGGGCCCTGCCCACTCATCTCTGGAAAGCCAGCAGCCAGGCTGTTGAGTGTCCCCCACAGTAGGTGTGCGGTTTGGAGTTCAAGTCTGGTGTAATGTTGTATTAGATGTCACTGGAGGCTGGCAGCACGAGAAGTGCCAGCCCCCGTGGCCTTTGGTCAGTGAGGGGTTAAGTCTGAGCTTTTCTGGCCCTTGTTGGAGATGGGCGGCCACAGGTGTCAGCACAGAGATCTTGGAGAGGTGACCTGGCTCTGGCACCTTCTGGAAGTCAGGTCCTTGCCTCATTCCCCTTTGACCTGGATGGTGGTACCCAGGTCAGCCAGCCCTAACTTTGCACCATAAAAGAGCCCTCCACCAAAGATGCAGCTTCTAGGCCATCTTTCGTAATCGTCACAGAATTACCAGCTCTGTGTTCACTTAGTCGTTCGGCTGACACGCTGTATTGACAGGCTCCCTTCAGTTTGTGCTGTTGTGCTTCTGCCCCTCTGGCTGGCTCCCCCGTCACTGAGCAGCCTCAGGTTGACAGTCAGTTACACACTCAGCTGGCTCACGGGCGCTGGCTGTGTGCCCACCACTGCCCAGTCCTGTGGACACAAGGCCAGGTCACGGCTCCTGCCCTCAGGGGACTGAAACCCCATATGCTGCCCAGGAAAACAGCCACCACCCAGGTGGTTGTGCTGTGGGGCCTGGGAGGACAATGTCGCCTTAGAGGGAGGGTCCAGGAGGGCTTCGTGAGGAGGTGGTGCCAGAGCTGAGCGTCGAAGGGCCTTTGGGGCAGACTGAGAAGCGTGTGTGAGGTTGTGGGAGAAGCAGAAGTTCGAGGGCTCTGTCTAGAGCGCCAGGTGAAGGGTGCACTGGGAAGAAGTGGTGGGAGCTGCCCAGGGAGCTGGTGAGCCCCGTGAGAGCCTGGTGATTGTGTTTCCTCACCTGCAAACAGTAGGTGCTCACTAATGAGCTGGTGACTACATTAGGAAGCCCCTTGCAGAGGATGCTGTCGGGTGACAGATCCTCCGCAGGACCTGCGGACGAGAGGGGAGGGCAAACAGGAGAAGCACCACAAAGCGGGTTGGTCAGCTCTGCTGACTAGGTGTGCATCTCAGGGGAAGTCTATATTCAGACCGCCTCCAGGTGAGACACGTCAGCATGTTCACAAAGTGGCTGGTTATAAAACATCCTTTGTGTAGGTGAGAAGTAGTTGATGGGTATTAATCTTAAATTGTGTTCTCTTAAGCATTTTGTATCTGAGGCATCTTTGCTAGAAAAAAGCACCAGGATACTCGCAACAATGAAGTCCTTCCTCATAGCCAAGGGCTAGCCCGTTATTAGCCAAAGGCTAGCCCGTTAATCTACACAATCTAAGTTGTGATTTTAGGGTTACCAAGCTGGGGAGGCTGTTTACATTCCTGTTACTAGTCATTTTGAACCCAACTAAATGCCATTCCATTTGGAGAAAGATCTTTTTAGGAGAGAATGAAGACTGCTGGAAGAGCCCACCAGGGAGGATCCTGGACCCCAGGAAAGCAGATGCGCAGAAACGCGCAGGCAGCCCCACGAGCTCTGGCTTCTCATGGAGACGGCTGGAGACCGCGTGGGCTCCAGGTGGCTCGTCTAAAGGCCCCTTTGGCTGTGCTCTGACCTCGCCTGGATTCACCAGTGAGGAGAGCGGAAGGGGACGGCTGTTTCTGAAACTCAGCCGAGCCCCTGTGATGACCCTGGGCTGGCCTGGGGAGCTTGCTGGCTACACCCGTCCTCTTCACGTTTCTCTCTCCTTTACTCCCCAGACTCTGGCCTGTCTCCACACTGTCGACTTCTCCGCGCTCTGCCTCCTGCCCCTCCTCTGTTTCTGTGGCTCCACTGGACGCCGGTGGGACCCTCGGCCAGGCTGAGCTGTGTCCTCCCCCTGACCCCCTTCCTCTGCCGGATGCCTTGTTCAGTGCAGCCTGGAGCCTGCACGGACCCTGCTGCACAGCTCAGGCCCCCCAGCGGTTTCAAGGACCAGTAATCCCATTTTTCTTTAAAGCCAGCATCTCGCATTTTGGCTTCTGTGTTCGTTGACATCAGTCCCCAGCTCGGTTACAGCCTCCTCATTTCCCTTTAACATCCATCACTTCCTAAAATTCACCACTGCTACCATCTTACTTTAGGAGCCCTTAGAAATAATTCCCATTTGGCCTGGGGGCCTCCTTCCTCAAGGGAGGGGGCTTGTGAGGTGCAGACCCTGGAGCCAGAACCCAGGCGAAGTCAGAGTTGTCCACGCACAGGAGTGTATGAAACGCTGCCTCAGAACACAGGTGCCTTCTCCTCTCCAAACAAGCACCCATTTCACATTTTACTGTTAACCAAGGACTTTCAGATTATCATGTGATTGTCACAACAGACCAAGTTGTGTAATGATTCTCATCTAATGCCTGATGAAACTGAAGCTTCCAGAGAGGCCAAACATTCCAAATACAGTCCTCAACTAAAATTGCTTGAATTGTTTAGAATATCCACTGGTGAGGGCTTACTTGGCACGTTTAGAGATGGGATGTCGCAGTCGTGACATCCAGGCCTTTCCCTGTCGTGAATGTGACGTGTGACTGACGGTGCTCAGAACCGAGTGATCAGCCTTGTGAACTGAATTGCTCAGGATCCCATTGAGACTGTGTTGTTTTCCGTAGCCAGGAGGATGGTAAACTTCAGAGGTGCGTGAGTGTAGAGTGGTTCCTCGTACAAATGGCTTACCTGCTCTCATCTGGAGTCGAGAGAGATAAAAATTTCCACCATGAACTTTTTTCTTTTCCAGAAATGTAAGCAGGATTTGGACTTCCTCTTGCACAGCGGTTGGTCTTCCTGTTTTTGCCCCGTATCTCTGTACTTTCCATCCTCTCCTGTGGGAAAATGATTCAGCACAGAGGCTGCCATCCAGCACATTCCACCTGCACCCCAGGTTCTCATAACCCCGAACCACCTTGTAGCATTTAGCAGATGCAGACAGAGTTAGGACGAGACTAACAGTTGAATCTGGAGCTCTTTACTCCTCAGTTGTTTTTTGTGGGGGCACAAATGCAGGACGTGCCCTTGGCCCTGCCCAGCCACACGCCGTCCCCCCACTGGAGCAGCAGAATGGCGGTGGGTGGGGTTGGGGGTGCTGTACTGTGTTAAACTCTACAATATACATTAACTAATAATAAAGGCTAATTTTTTATTGTGGTAAAACATGCGTAATATAAGATTTACCATTTTAACCATTTTTAAGTATATGGTTCAGTAATATTAAGTGCATTCACATTATTGTGCAACCACCATCCATCTACTGAACTTTTTCATCTTCCCAACGGAAGCTGTCCCCGTTAAAACATTATGTGTTTGGAAAGTTGAAGTCAAACTCCAAAAGGTGGCTCCATACCTGAGTATAAATTCCTGTAAGATCTGTGGGAACATTTATAACTGGTACAAGCCTGGGGTTAGAAATTTCAAATCAAAGGGCGAGGAATTGAACTTTTTCAAAAAGCAAATCACTTAGGAAATAATTGTCACTTGCTGTCAGGGAATCATCGTGTCCCTGCAGAGACCCAGGCCCTCCCTGGGGGCTGTGTCTGTGGCCAACCCTCACCCCTCTGGTTGCTCAGACCTAGTTCCATGCACTGATCACGCCTGGACCGGGGGCTGGCCATGACGGCCGTGCTCCTTGGACTGTGGATGGCAGGTGGTGAGTCTCAAGGTGCATCCCCCAGGAAGGAGCACCGCCCAGCTCCTCGGGACATGGCAGGGCATCAGCAGTGACTCAGAAAGACCAGTCACCCTAACCTGGTCTTCCACTGGCTCGGGACCTCTCTGAACTGCGAAGGTCCAGGTTGGGAAGCATGTTCTCTCTCATGGTGCCAGGCTTTGCTGTGTTTGTGTGTTGGGGGACACTGACCCCTCTGAGACATCCCTTGCCAGCACAGCAGCAAAAATGCTGCAAATCTGCTTCCCTCCAAATGTGTCTCCTTCTGCCTGCCAGACAGGTGAGGGAAATGTGGTGACAGCCCGGCTCCCATTGCTTCCTCCCTGCGGTAATACAGACCCCCTGGGGGGGTCCTCTCCTGACAGTGATAATGGCAGGAAAACAGGGAGATTTGGGGCTGTCGACCCCCCTCGCCCAGGCCGACGTGCTGGTGGCTTCTTCCTCGTCCGCCCTCCCACCTGGCTCATCTCGGGGTTGGTGGACCATGTGCAGAATACACAGCACGGAAACCCTTCGGAGGGGGTCCGACAACCAGCCGCACGGCCCTGAGAGCTGGCTCTCAGCTGCCTTGGATCTGCTCTCCCCCTCAGCCTTGGCTGCTCTGGGCAGCGGGCTTTAGTTGAGGTGGACGTTTGGTTGAGGCTTCTCCATGGGCTCCTACGCAGATCTGCCCCAGATAGCCCCTGCCCGTCCCTGTGCGACCTCAGTTGAGAGGTCAGCTTCAGAGACCACAAGAGGGTGTGTGGGTCAGTGCGGTCTGTGGGTCATTGTCTGCTGGAGTCTCTTTTCTGGACCCTGTAACCTTTGACCTCAGCGGCCCCCAGGACTTCAAAGCGTCCCTCAGTGAGTGGATGGGAGTTCTTTGCTCACGTGGTTAACACTGAAACAACGTGAAATGCACGTTTTCCACATTCAGGATCGCAGCAGGTGGGGTGGGAGGGTTTTGACAATGTTTAGATTCAGGGTTTGAGGGGTGGGTCTGTCGCATGAGGAAGTGAGCCGCTTCCCTGGAGCGAGTGTTCCGTAGCCTCAAGAAGTGGCTCTCCAGCCGCCCTGGCTGTCGGGCGCGGAGGCGCCTTTATTTAATGAACGTGATGGGGTCTCCTGCTGGTCCAATCACTGGAATTTGACATTTCCACAACTTCAGAGGTTGTCTAGTCTAGCCCCCTCACTCACAGGTGAGGAAGCAGACCCTGCGCTGTCTGAAGGCCTGGCCAGTTCCCATGAGGAGGTTTACAGGTTTGTTCAGGCCTGGGTCCTCCTGGAGTCCCTGGGGACTTCCCGCGATTGCCAGATGCTTCTGAAATCAGAGTGCATGCTCCACCTGTCACCTGAAGTCCTGACCGCCTGCTGCTGCATACCCCCAGTTCTGTGCCCGGTGCTGCCGGGTCTCTGCAGACGCTCTGCCAGGCCGCTCCCAGGACCGCGGGTGAGGCAGCTGCAGACATTGTGCATGCTTCACAGGGAGCCAGGCGTCCAGTTTTGAGTCTGTTCTCACCGGGAACTTAATGAGCCCGGCTTCCTGCATGAGGATGATGCTTTTGTTGTGTGGATTGCAGAGGGCTGTGGGCCTCACGCATGAATCAGGGCGCCCCTACCCGCAGACCTCGTGAGCACATCTTCCACCTGGCGCACGCCCTCCTGCCCGCGGCTCCTCAGTCTGTGGTCCTTTCAACCTTACCCCTGCTCTGAGGGGGCGGCCTGTCCCTTTTACAGAGGACGAGCCTGAGTCCCAGAGAGGCTGTGCGTCTTCTCAAAGCCACACAGCCATCCAGGTTGAGACCTGATCTGTGCCAGGTCTGCCTCCCAAGTCCTCGTCCCGTGTGTTTCTCCCACAGCTGGAGCTGGGGATGAAGAAGAAGATAGAGTTGCCGGGCACTTACGCGATCAGCACACAGGTTCGAGTTTCTGCCGGCCTAAGGGGGAAACATCGGGAAGTGTCCTTGGACCGGGAATTCCTTTGGGTGACGAAATCCAGACAGGAGACAGATGCGCACCGCAGTTCTCGGCCCTGCCGCGGTGTGCCCAGCATGGACGACCCGCCAGGCAGGACCCTTTGCTGGCCCAGATTGTTGATAGTGCACTGGACAGCTTCTTAGAAACGGCAGGAAGGTGACTTGTTCGGTTCTTCAACTCCAGGGTCTTCAGGATATGTGAAGTGGTGTGAGATGGGATCCCTCTGTAACCTGGAGGGCGTCTGTGTCCACACTTGCCTGTATTTGCGTAAATAGATCCTGGGATGATAAATAAACTAGCAAAAGTTACAACCTGGGTTGTGGGGTGGGGAGTGACTGTTAATGGGTTTGGGGTTTCTTTTTGGGGTGATGGAAGTGTTCTGGTATTAGGCAGTGGTGATGGTTGCACAACTGTGAATGCACCACAAACTGCTGAATCGTACGCATCAACAGGGGAAGTCTGTGGTGGCTAAATCACACCTGTGACATCTCAGTCCAGCTGCTGAAAACGGTTCCTGAAGCCATGTGTCGTTTGGCTTTGAGCCTCTGTCTGGCCACTTAACCCTGGTCGAGTTCCTCTTGGCACTTTGCTCCTTCTCTCTGGAAGGAGAGGTCCAGTCTAACGGAGGGGAGGGAAGAGCTGGTGACTGAGGGCTCCCTGGAAGCCGTGTCTCTCTCGGGGGCAGGGGGGGAACGGGAAGACAGGGCAGGGCTCTGCGCCCAGCTCTGCAGGGTGAGGGTGACCTGCTGGTCCCGTGTCCGTGCTCTGAGTGTTGGTGCGGGATGGAAGACACCTGGAGTGAGTGGTCTTCTTGGTAGGCTCAGAGAGGCAGAGATGTCTGCCCATGGGCGTGTCTGCCGCAGCCCTCTGCTTAGGCAGGGCCTGCCCCCATGTCTGTATTGGACTCAGTGAGGGGCCTCTCTGAGACCTGGGGGAGGTGCAGAGACCCACGCAGCCCAGCAGAGGGCCGGGCAGTGGCCCTTGGTTGAGTTGGGAGGGGGTGAAGACCTGGCTGACACTCCCCTGGGCTTCTTTGTGGGGCTTCTATGATCTCCTTTGAAAGGAAAGAGGATGTTGGTTTGCTGTGCTGGCCAGGCCTGGATTGCTGAACGCTGGCCATGAGAACTGCTGAAGGAGCTCGGCTCTAAGTATGGGGCTTTTCTGCCAGCAGTTATTTTCAGTTGTTTCGATTATAGTTGTCCTCTTTGGTAACCGCTGTTGTGTCCCGTAAATACAGGCTGAATCACAGCCCCGGGCTGAGAGGGTGGACACGTGGACAGCCACGCTCCTCCTCGAGGTGACAGTGACCCATGAGGCTGTAAGCAGCGTCCCAGAGGAGATAGAGCATGAATGCTGCCCATTTTCTCTGACTTGTGGGTGCTGTTCTTCCCACACCCTCTGGCTCTGTACTCAGGAGTCCCCGTGAGCTGGGGAGGCGTAGCTGCAGAGTTTGCACACGGTCCCGGCCCTCCACGGACCCGCCCCGTCTGACCCCGCACGGCCCCGGCCCTCTGCAGACCCCCAGGTCTGACGCCGCACGGCCCCGGCCCTCCGCGGACCCGCCGGCTCTGACCCCGCAAAGCCCCGGCCCTCCTCGGACCCACCCGGTCTGACCACATGTCAGCCGAGCTGGCTTTTCCGAAATGCCCCTCGCTCCTTCTGCTCCTGTGAGCCCAGGATGGAGCGACTGGTGCGAAGCAGTCGTCCTGCTGAGACAGGCTCCCAGGAGGCCTGCGTTTTCATTAGAAATTGGGGGCTCAAGTTTCCTTTCTTGTTCCCATCTCTTTCTCCTGCCTCATAAGAAAGATGTAAGTGTGAGAGGCTGGGCATGAAGAGAGCTCTTTGGAGGACTTCTGGGAAGCAGGGGCCTGGGAGGGACTGTCCAGTGTGGGGCCTGAGCTGGGTCTCATGGCCAGCGCGGTT